GCTCCGAACGTAGATCTACTTTTTTTTTTTTTCCCACAAAGAATGTAAAATCAAACGTAGATCTACGTTCGGAGCGCTATGTGAGTAAATGTATAGCTATGTTTGGACAGTTTAAGGGTTAGTCTTGTACAGTATCTCACAAACATCACTTATAAAAATAAATCTAAATAACTATAAAGCTTAAGAAAATACTATATATAACCCTTTCACTTTTGGGACCCCTAAATTTAAAAGTACTGATAATGTCAGGGATTCTATTGAAATGGTTGAGAATCTTTTTCTGAACGAAATACATGAAAGTATAAAATTTGATGGAGACTTTTGGAATTGTGCAGGCACAAAGTTGGGAGTTGGGACACAATTACACATCAGTGGTTTCACTCACTTCCTATTTTAAGCCAATTCCATTGCTCAGTTCAAACAAGGTCTTAGCGATTTTGCTAGTATTCCTTCCGTTCTATCGAATGAGCAAAAGAGCCACTCATTCAATTTTTGGAACTATCCTACAAAGTGCACAGAAGTCAGCAATTTTGCCAATTTGAAACAAAATTAAAAAATTTCAATTTAAAAACAATTCAAAATAAACAAAGCATCCCAGCCACTAAAGCAACATTTCCTCTGTTCATTAATCACATCCTCAGGCTAACTAATTTGAATTCATCATCCTATAAAAGATCAAAAGTTTTTACCTTATTTCTTAGATTTAATAAAACAACCAGGAATGACTGATCATGGTTTAGGGCCATTGCAATAATTAAAGCTAAAAATATATTGCAATTTATATTACTCATAAAACAGATTGGGGAAAGAGGGGGAACCTTGCTCATCCTCAGGAAAATCGTCAAAAATTTAATATTTCTGCCACTTTGAGCCTGATTTCAAGGTACTTCCAATATCATCTCCAGTAGTATCTCTTCTATTCTACCAAATGATACCAAGAAACAGTCAATAAAATCATAAAAACCATTCTAGAAAACACCTCAAATTTACTGTTTTAAAGCAAACCTAAGGTCATAGGCTTACTTTTCCCATCAAATACCACATGGGGGCAGGAATATTTTTTATACTGTGCACATTCACTGCACAGACTCATTCTCTTATGTCTAGGCTAAAATCAGCTCAAAACACAGATCTACATAAGTAATGCTGGTGTCAATAATCTTGATTTACATAAGAGATAGTGAAAGGGTTATATAAAGTAATTGTTAGGTTTAAAGCCTACCGACTGGATGATGGTCATTAAGGCTGCATAACACCTGTACACTGAAAATGAAGAAACTAACCACTTAAATATGGATTTACAAAAACAAATATGTACTACACCTCTCAGTAGACATTACATACAAAACCTGAATTTTTTTTTTCTTTACTGTGAGGCTTGTTAATGTACTGTTTTCACACACTAGGGCAGACAAGATCTTGAGTTATAATATCATGTGTCAAGCGTGCACACGATACTAAAATAATCAAAGTAAGCGCTTAACCTGAAAGAATAAAATTAGAAAAACTTATGCTAGTACCAGTGTGACTGATCCTTTATACCTAATCCCACATAGTGTAAGATTTAAGTAAATATATTTTCCTGCACTTTTAACTACATATACTGCACTACAGTATACATATGGGTTAAATATTACTCAAATTATTTACCATGTCTGAGTAATGGATGACTAGTGAATGCTCAAAATACATTCTCTAAATACTTTATTTTAATTATTTATCAGCTATAGCAATTTTCTTTGGTGCTGATTAACTTTCAAGTAAGAAGCTTTATCAAACATACCTTGATTCTGGTGAGGGGGCTCTTCATCCAAGGAATTGTATCTATCCTTCCCATGGATTGAAGCTGATTGCTTTCCATTTCCCAGGTGTTGTATTACCTCCAGCTTTAGTATGTCTGTGATTACACTAATAATCTTCTAGATACTGTAAAACTAACTATAAAATCAGATTATGAATTTTCCAGGAAATAGGTACAAAGTTAATCTGAATCACCTTAAAATATGGGGAGTTCAAGAAACAGCAGTTCAAAAACAAGCAGTTCTGAAAATATATCCAATACTATATATGGGAGCAAAATTGTAATCACACAAATTTACATAAGCAAAAAATCTGAATGATTAATTATGATACAAAATTATATAAGCTCAGTTAAGAACGAACTAGAATTTTGATTATTCAAAAACAAGGTATGCAGATTTTAAGTTACCCTAGGTTACATCATTATTATACATTTATGGGTGAGTGCTAAACCTGTAGGGTTCATACAACACCTGGGGGAAATGGAAGGCATTTAGACTCGCTTCAAGAAATTGAAGCACAGTTCTAATTCCATAGATCAGTGGCCCCTCACCAGGATTAAGAAACCTCCCTTGAGGAGACCCAAAGTAATAAGTCTAAAACACTCAAGAATAAGCCAACTATACAATAGTTTTGAAAGACAAAGCATTCATAATCTTAAAAAAAAAAAATAGGTTCTGTTATCTATAATATGACCCTACTTATATACCAGTAACTAAATTTTAGCTCATTTTAAATACTGGGAATTATCAACAGATCCCGTCTTCAAAAGGGAACAAAACACGTACCTCCAGGAAATTCCTGATCAGCCAGGCTGATGCTGGACTGTATACTTTTAGCACACAGGCCATCAACCATGAAGCTTGATCTGGGACCAGGCTTCAGGAAGTAATGACCCATGGAACAACAAAGCCAGAAGTCAACAATATCCAGCACCCACTTAAATCAAAATACTACTGCAAAATTTTAAAATACATCTGGTTAAATTTGTAGGAGATAAGGGGACCAATGATGAATTATAGATTTTCCATGATGAAGCCACTAAAGCTATTAGTCATGGGGTAAAAAACCTTTGAACAGTAAAATCTTTATCATAGGAGTCTCTTTATGGATAAGATATGTTTCATACCATGTCAGCTGTACTAAGCTCATTCAACCTATTAACACAATTCTACATAAGAATCTTCAGTACATTTTGCAAACACCACCAATTACATATGAAACTGCCAAGTGAAATGAGACATCACATACAGTAACAGTGAATTCACTTTTAAGTAAAGCCCCTTATAAAGCCAGGGTAACTTGTATAACTTGTATTTCCTTTCATCATACATCATTAAAGTGGCAAGTTCAGTATCTGCTGATACTAAACCAATTGGGGTGGAAACCAGTGATATAGCCAGGTTCTAAAGTTAGAAGAGGAGCACAAAAAATGGCACCATGACACACCAAATAATTTTAAATTCATTATACATTTTTATTTTGTTTTTAAAATCAAAACACAAGGAAGACACAGTTTTAAATAAAGTACATAATTGTTATTTTGTTTTTAAAATCAAAACATAAAAATTTTTTACAGTAAGCTCATAAATCTCAAAATAATAATTTTTTTAACACATCAGCTGTTTCCCTCCATGGCAGGGTGACCCAAAAATAAAAAAAAAAAACTTTCATCATTCAACACTTTCACCATCACTCATACATAATCACTGTCTTTACAGAGGGGCCCTGATATGACAGTTCAGATGTCACTCCAAACAGCCAATATCACAAACCCCTTCTTTAAAGTGCAGGCACTGCTTCCCACCTCCATGACTCAAGTTCAGCTAACCAGTTTCCCTGAATCCCTTCACAAACATTACTCTGCCACACCCCAACAAGCTTGTCAGGCTCCAAAAACCATTTGTCTCCATTCACTCCTAACACGCTCACACATGCTGCATGTTCAAGCCCCTTGCACGGAAAACTTTTTACCCCATCCTGCCATCCTTTCTTAGGATGACCTCTACCCCTCCACTCCAGATTTATACACCCTCCAATATATTTTGATCCATCCTCTAAATGACCAAACCACCTCAACAACCCCTCTTCAGCCCTCTGAATCATACTTTTAATAACTCCACACCCCCTCCTAATTTCCACACTATAAATTCCTTGTATAATATTTACACCACACATTGCCCTTAGACAAGACATTGCCACTGCCTCCAGCCTCCTTGTTGCAGCACTTACAACCCATGCTTCACACTCACATAAGTGTCAGTACCACTATACTCTTGTACGTTCCCTTCTTTGCCTCTATGGATAATGTTTTTTGTCTCCACAGATACCTCAATGCTCAACTCACCTTTTTTCCTTGATCACTTCTATGGTTAATCACATCCTTCATAAAACCATCTGCTGACAAGCCTACTCCCAAATATCTGAACACATTCACTTTTTCCATACTTCCTCCCTCCAATGTGATATCCAATTTTTCTTTACTTAACTCATTTGATGCCCCTCATCACCTTGCTCTTTTCTATGTTCACTTTCAACTTTCCTCCTTTACACATGCTCCCAAACTCGTCCACAACGAGCTAGACAAAGAAGAACCTGAAGAAAAATTTAACATTGCAATAGTTATGTGAGCAGTTCCATATTATTGGTAAAGTTGCAGATTTTTTCACAATTCTAGAAGCACTCAGTGCTGTATAGCCCTTGTGGCTTAACACTTCTTTTTGATTATAATAATAATCTAGAAGCACTGCTCTGAAATGAGGTCTAGAGCAGCTGATGATGCCTTACCATCAGCTGTGTCAAATACTGAACCTATTGTAACATGAGATTTCCTTGTAAGTATTGTCTTGATGGCACACATATTATGGGCATTAAAAATGCACATTACAGTATATGTACATGGTATTTTTAACCCAGGATAATCCAAGCAATCCAAACAATGTGCCTTATTTCCATGTTTCAAGAGGAATTACACCCTGACTCAATTGTAATATCATAAGATTTCCTTGTATATAGTTTTTGAGGAGAAAAGCAATCAAAAGAAATAAGGGGAAAACAATTATTTGCATGAATTTATATTGTATATTTCAAGTGGAGTTAAGTATCTTCCCATGTTTTGAGTACTAAAAGCATCTTCCCATGTTTTGAGTACTAAAGCATCTTCCCAGTCTTGAGTGCTAAAACACCTTGAAACAACATCTATCAGCATAAGAAACTAGTACGTATGCAGTGTTTGACACTAAAATAATAATAATAATAATAAAAAAAAAAATTGCTTAGTGGAACTGAAACACTGTTGCTCACAGCACATCATTTTTCACCAACTTCAGCATGCCACAAAATGGTAAGTCACTATCAGAATTCCTTCTCCCCTGTCGTATTCTACTTAGAATTTTTTTTTTTAATCCATAAGAAAAAAATTTGCTTTTCATTTTCAAAAATTTGCCACAACACCTGCATTATTTTTATTTTTGGGCATGTTGCATTTAAAGGGTTCATATGGGTGAAAGTAACTAAATGAGGTTATTATTTATGAAAATCATAGTATGCACAGCATTTTAGGTGACTAATACTAATAGCATGCAAATGAGAAATAATGCAAGATGCCAAAAGTACTAAGCAACAATACAATGTTATGGAACTTGAAGTGGGTTATTTTGTATCAAAATTTTTATATTCATAAGAATAATGAAAATGACATAACAGTAGATGTACAGTAATACTGTAGTTAATTTAATCAGCTGAAATATAAAGTGATGAAAGTGTAATACTAATGAATCTGGCATTAATAAATGGTTTACATTTTGAAACACTGTACCTAGTTTATGGGATAAAATATAAGACAGTAATGTAAACCACTGGAATGATAATATTATTGATCAATTGGATGTTAAAAATTGTAAAGAAATGTTTTCAAGACTGACTAAGATTAAAAGATTAGAGAATTATTCTGAACTATGGTAAAAATATTCAAGTGTTTATTCAACAAATTTTACATTACTAAGGTTCTGGTATCCTGGTCCCGAACATCTGTTTAATAAATTTGTCATGTACATTAGACTGTATTAGTGGTGAATCTTGCATGCATGCAGCAGTGTGCTTAGAGAAATGGTATGGAGCCATCCAAAGGATGAGCATCAAGACAAGCATGGTGGCCTGGTTGTGGACATGGCTTCCACCCTGGATTCTCTTCATCATTCCACCGCCAATGGGGCTCATGACGAAACATATAGTCACCGTACTGAGCTAGAGCTTTCTTGCCAGGATTCCAAGGACCAGGTAACCAGTTGGAGCCCACACGTACAAAAGAACTGAGGTAGCATGAAGGTGGCATTTTCTTTTCGCTTTTGTTCAGTGTCAAGTTCTTCTGGATTGATTTTGCAACTTTAATTGGTGTTGGGATGTGTCCATGCTGAAGACACACCAGATTGTCTGGATATTTGTTCAGTTTTTCCAGTGTTCCCAATGATGGCATTGTTTTCCTGCCCCATAAATCCAATGCAAATCCCCCCTGACTAGTTGCATAAATATATTTACTTACAACAGATTTATTCCCTTTGTTGGCTTGATCACTAAAGTATGGAGAGAGACCAAGTCGTCTCATCCGTTGTTTATTTCTGATAAACACTTCTGCATCTGAATTTCTATAATATGCATCATCATCAAAATCCCAGGGAAGACCATCTTTAAATTTCAAAGCACCTAAAAGAGTACCAGAGCTAATTTCATATGGTACTCTGTTCTCTTTTGCAATTATATCAACAGTGTTTAACATTTTATTCTTCAGTTTTAAACAACATGGTGGAAGGATGTAATATCTTACTTTAATATTAGCACTACAATCGTAATGTACTTCTCGGCAATTGTACTCAAAACTTGTACCATTGTTAAAGGTAACAAAATTAAGTTCCCATTTCTGTGCCAATTTTCTGTATTGCCTCTTGATAGCCCACAGCTGTGCTCTTGCCTGTTTCCTTTCCTCCTTGGTTACACAGCTTCGGTCTGATTCTCTGTGCTGCTCCTTAGACCTGAGACTTCTTTGCACATGAAACATTACATCTGGACATGTCACTGTCAAGTAACCGTGTCTTTGCAGCCTTAAACTCCAATCAATAACCTGAGATCTGTGAGACATACTTAGATCATATGGCACATCAAGGAGAACCTTAGTTGCTGCTAAGAAAGAAGAAATAGTGACATCACAGAAGAGACAGGCAGCCCTGGAAAACTCATATCCATCTCTAAGAGTGAGACGCGAGTTCCTAATTGTTAAACGTGTGCACGTGTAGTCCCATGACCCATCTCGCCCACGTTCTGAACCACTTACAATGCCTACACCAATAGATCGGAGTCCTAGGGCCACAGAGAGCAACCTTGGAAGATCTAGGTCATCTGTGATGGCAGAAACACCATCCAGGACTAGAACAAAGGGGGTTTTAACAAACTTTGTCAAACTGCGAAGGTCACTTCGCCTCCATTTCTCACACTTCATCTGTGGAAAGAATTCAAAATCAGTGCTAAGAAGATGAGACATTATAGTCATTGATACTATATAATACACTAAATAAAATTTATTATTAAAAAATTATGCTGTAATGTGATAACTTTTCAATACACATTTTAACAGGGAAGCGCTAAACCTGTAGAGTCGTACAGTGCCTAAGGAATGAGCTCTATTTCAGCATCAAGGCAACTCTTTTTGAAAGGATAATTCCTGCACAAATAGCTAAAAATTATGAAGACAGATTCTAGTACAATACAATATAATATTAAATCCTACTGAAAAGACCTCATCAGCTATAAGTGAGCTCCTGAACAAACTGAAGGGCATTCACAAGAACTATGACCTCATTTTACTGCATGTTAGGGATGACAGTTCTATAATCAGCAATTCTCTCTAGCCATAGAGCACCATGAGGGCAGACTCTTTCTTTATGTGGTGTCCTGGGAAACACTGGCTGAGGTTTACCATCCCAGGGCAGCTGAGGCTGCAGAGATGAAATGAACACTACCTCCAAGTGTTTCCCTGCAAATTGAGCTTGCCTCTAAGAGCTTTATTAATTCATGTGCAGCATGATTTTGGTGGAGTGGATAGAGGTAAAAGAGGACTTTTGCTGCAGGAGGAGAGCTAAACTCAGGGTACCCCTATTGTTTTTTAATGGCCCAGTGGTTATAGCACTTACTACAGTACCTCCACTTGTAACTAATTCCATTGTTCTACCACTCAGTATGTGAAGAATAACTTTCTATCATCCTTTCAGTGTTTCCTCAGTTTATTCTCTGATCTCATGTTTTGCCTGTTAATGGTGTCAGGAAGCTTAATCATTTCTTTTGTAGCCTTATATAATCTCAGATGTAGTTACATTATCATGTCTTCTTTTCCTGCCATCAGCCAAAGATGAAACATCCATTGCTTTCAAGCCTTTCTCTATAACCATTTTTTTTACCTTTGGGAGCTAGATTGAACTTTTTCAAGCCTGTCTTTTTTTTTTTTTCTCGGGTGTGGACATATGTGAATTTCAGTTTTTCCCATGTCTATCTAAAGGCCATTTTTAAGTTGATCAGTGTTGCAGTGGTTTCTCATTATTTCATTTATGTAATCTGATGATATTATTATTATTATTATAATCAAAAAGAAGCGCTAAGCCACAAGGGCTATACAGCGCTTCAGGGTAGGGAAGGAAGCAAGGGAATTGGATGGCAGAAGGGAGGGGGGATGATCAGCAGGTTACAGAAAACAGCGGGGCAGGGGATAGTACGGGGGTAGAGGGTAGCAAGAGATTCAAGTAGAAAGGGCTGAAAGTATCAGAATTTGTGAAGTAAGTCAGTCGTTGTCAAAAAGTCAATGAGAGAGTCCGGATGAAAGGTGGGTCCATCAGCGAGAAGGGAAGGTAAAGAGAGAGCAGCGGGGCGAAGACGACGACAGAGGTAAATTCTGCGTGCTCGTTGATAAAGTGGGCAGTCCAACAGAATGTGGCTGACTGATAATGGAGCTTGGCAATTCTCACAGAGAGGAGCAAGACGCCTCTCCATGAGATATCCATGAGTAAGACGAGTATGGCCAATGCGAAGACGAGAGAGAGTAGTCTCCCAACCTCGACACTGGTGATAAGAAGACGGCCAGTAACCTATACTCGGTTTAATAGACTGAAGTTTGTTGCCAAGCATAGTAGACCAACGTTGCCAACGGGTGTGAAGGTGGGAAGATATTACAGCAAAATAGTCCGTACATGGAATACCTCTATAAGAAACTGGTAGGTCATGTACTGCTGACCGCGCAGCAGTGTCTGCCTGTTCATTGCCCTGTACGTCAACATGACCAGGGACCCAACAAAAAACAATATCTTTATGCTTAGTAAAGATGCGGCGTAGCCAAAGTTGGATACGGAGGACTAAGGGGTGAGGTGTATCAAATTTTTGTATAGCCTGTAAAGCACTAAGGGAGTCTGAGACAACCACAAATGATGACACAGGCATAGATGCAATACAGATAAGTGCTGTAAGGATGGCATATAATTCAGCAGTAAAAATACTAGCTGAAGATAGTAAATGCCCTTGTACGACGCTGTCCGGAAACACTGCTGCGAATCCTACGCCGTCAGAAGACTTAGAGCCATCTGTGTACACAGCAATGGAAATGAGAATGAGAGTGAAAGTGGTCAAGAAAAAAGAGAGCGGGAAGCGACCGTAGACAGTTGGGCTTTCGAGCAAGGGAGGGAGAAAGAACAGACTCGAACAGCTGAACTTCCCAGGGGGGTAGGGAAAAGTGAGATGCTACATGTACATAGAAAGGTGGTAGTTGAAGAGAAGACAAGAGCGAATGAAGGCGAAGAGAGAAGGGACGGAGTAAGCAGGGGCGCGAACAAATAAAGAATGTCTACTAATATCAGTGACCAATCTATAAATGGAAGGATTGGGGAGATCATGAGAACGTACATAGTAGCGCAGGCAATGGCATCACGGCGATCGGATAAGGATGGAACGTTCGCTTCTGCATAGAGGCTTTCGACAGGGGAAGAGCGAAAAGCACCAAGGCATAAACGTAATCCTTGGTGATGAATGGGGGTTAAGGCTAGAAAGAGTAGCAGGAGATGCCGCTGAATAGATCTGGTCACCATAATCAAGTTTCGATAAAATAAGGGTGGAATGTAGGTGAAGGAGGGTTCGACGATCAGCTCCCCACGAAAGATGAGCAAGGGTTTTAAGAAGGTTCAGCCGGCTGTGACAAGTTGCCTTCAGAGAGGTAATGTGAGGTTTCCAGGATAACCTACGATCAAAGAGGAGGCCCAGAAACTTGACTGTATCACGTTCAGGGATACGGGAGCCATAGAGGTACAAAGGATGATCGGAGATGACAGAGCGTCTAGTGAAAGTGATTTGGTGGGTTTAGTGCTGGAAAATTTAAACCCATGTGTGGTGGCCCAATTGGAAACACGGTCGACTGCATGCTGGAGAGAAACTGTAAGGAGGTGACAGTCAGCGCCTGCACAGGCAATAGCGAAGTCATCAACATAGAGTGAGACCAAATATTTGATGGAAGACTAGAGGCCAAATCATTAATAGCAAGGAGAAAAAGTGTTGTGCTCAGAACACATCCCTGGGGGACACCTTCAGCTTGGATAAAGTCCGGGAGAGCACATTATTAACCCGAACACGGAAATGCCTGTCAGTTAAAAAGTTCTTAAGGAAGGATGGTAGATTTGCCTCGAAGGCCTAAGGAGTGGCTTGGGCTAAAATATTATACCTCCAAGTTGTGTCATATGCCTTCTCAAGGTCAAAAAATATGGCAATAACTGAGTGGTTATTCGCAAAGGCATTACGAACTTTACGTATCCAAGCGCAGTAAGGGGTCTATGGTAGAACGTCCCTTACGAAAGCCATATTGACGAGTGGAGAGACTGTTGTGTGTCTCTAAATACCACACTAAACGTCTATTTACTAGACGTTCCATTACTTTGCAAACTGCACTGGTAAGAGCAATGGACGATAGGGGGAGGTTTCATGTCCCGTATGCCTGGTTTGCGGAAAGGGAGACAATGGCGGATTTCCACAGCTGGGGAAGAACTCCTTGTGACCAAATAAGATTGTAAAGGCGTAATAGGACTGCAAGGGCTGACTGATGTAAATGTTTTAGCATACGAATATGAATGTCGTCGGGCCCAGCTGCCGATGATCGACAAGCTGAGAGTGTTGCCTCCAGTTCTTGAAGTGTAAAAGGCACATTATACTGTTCTTCTCTGAGAGAAGAAAAGTCCAAGGGTGCTAACTCTCTGGCAGACTTTGAGAAAGAAATGAGGGGCATAGATGGAGTCCCTGAAAAAATACGGACCAGATGATTGCCAATTTCTTTGGCAACATCTAGTGGGTTTGCTATATCAACACCGGCAACCCGCAGAACAGGAGCCGGTCAGGAGAATATTTACCACTCAGTTTTTCGTACTTTTTTCCAGACTGCACTCATAGAGGAAGCAGAGGTGATGGTGGAGACATAATCTCGCCAGCAAGTGCGTTTAGCGTCACGGATGACACGGCGAGCAATCGCACGCTTCTGTTTAAAATCAAGGAGTCGCTCTGTGGTTCTATTGTACCGGTACCTGCCCCATGCAGCGCGTTTCAAACGTACTGCACGAGCACAAGCAGGAGACCACCAAGGCACGCATTTCTGAGAATGCCTGCCCGAAGTTTGGGGTATAGAATGAGAAGCTGCGGTTAAACGGAGGACGAGAAGAGGTGTAAAGCTCATTGATGGAGGACGAAGAAGGAACCTCTTTAAAAACAGTCAGGTGTGAGTAAAGGTTCCAATTTGCCTGATTAAATTGCCAGCGTGGGGTGCGAAGAGGTGGCGAATATGAAGGGGAAGTAAGAATGATTGGGAAATGATCACTGTCATGTAAGTCCGGGAGAACAGCCCCAAGTGAAGTCAAATGCGGCGGAGGAAGAGCAAACTGAGAGATCGATGCAAGAGAGAGTATGAGTCCGAGGATCAAAATGGGTGTGAGTACCTGTATTTAAAACATGGAGGGGGTGGGTGGCAAGAAAAGCCTCTAACTGAATTCCACGGGAATCACAGTGAGACCCCCCCCAGAGGAAATGGTGGGCATTAAAATCACCAAGTAACAGAATCGGTGGCGGTAATGACGAAACAAGGAAGGCAAAATCCGGAATAGATAATGCCCGAGAAGGAGAGAGATATAAAGAACAGAGCGTATACCACCTATGTAAGTGGATATGGGCTGCTGTGTAATGCAGCGAAGTATGAACAAATAGCTGATGGTACGGAATATCACTGCGGAGAAGAAGGGCACTTTCATTAAAGGTCCCATCAGGAAAAGGATCTGAAGAATACAATAAATTATAGCCTGAGATGTGAGAAATAACAGCAGAGTGTAATTTTGGTTCCTGTAAGCAAACACCAACAGGGGCAAACTGGGAGAGTAACATCTGAAGCTCACCCCGATTACCCCTGAGGCCGCGTATATTCCACTGTAAAAAGGCCATGATTGGCAATGATAAAGATACTTGAAATCCGCAGGTAAGGGTTCCTACGGACTAGAAGGGTTAGAAAAGTCCACATGCGGAGGCAGTGGAAAATGTTCAAGCAGCGAAGGAACGGTGCGCTGTGAAGAAAGGAGTTGCGCAGATGGAGCAGAGGAGAGAGAAAGAGCGAAGGTGGATCAGTGTCCATTGATGGTTTGGTCTCTGCAATATATTCAGAGATTGCTTCAAGTGTTTCGGAATTCAGAGATGTCGTATGGGAGACAATATTGGGAATGGTAGGGGGAGGATGAGTAAAGATTGGAACTGTATTGGACTGTACCAAGGTAGGGGGGGGCGAAAGGGTGGAGGGAACTGGAGAAGCGTGGCAGGGGACAGAAGAGACAGGAACCTGGGAGGTGGCAGAAGAGGAAGAAACTTGGGAGGGAACAGGGGAGGAAGGTACATTACGAGGAGGAGGGTGAACCTCTGCACTTGTAACTGAGCCAGTGAGAGGGGAAGAACTAGGGACAGAGACAGGGAGGGTAAAATGAGGAGGTGGAAGATGGGGAGGAGGTGTTACCGGACCTTTTTTTTGACTTTTGAGAAGTTAGAGGGACGATTGGGAAGAGGTGTCGTACGAGGTCTCGTCGACACTGAGGCTTGTAAGAGAGAACTCGAAGAAGCGAGATTAGACTGAGGCGTTGAAGTAGGGACGTCTGAGCCGAGGACAGCAAAAGGATTAGATACAGGAGTGATTATGGGAGAGGTAACCACAGAGGTGGGTGTAGAAGATGGGATACCAGAAGTGGGGGGACGTTTTGAAACACGGGAATAAGAAACACGTGGGAGTCTCCCTTGGAGGCGGAGATGAGAAACTGCCATGGCATAAGGGAGACCTTCTGTCTCTTTGAGGTAACGGATTTCCCGCTCGTTTAAATAGACCTGACAACGGCGAGAGTACGAAGGGGGAGCCTCATGACAGTTAAGGCAAGAGGGAGATCGATTGCAAGACGTATTAGAATGGTCATCGGCACCACAGACTGGGCATTCGGCGATAGATCTGCAATATTTCGCTGGATGGCCAAATCGCCAGCAATTTCTACACTGTTGTGGTGTAGGGATCACCTTTCGAACTTGTAACCGATGTCCTGCTATATAAACTGAGGGTGGGAGTTCTCGGCTGTCAAAAGTTAAACGAGCCCCCATTGTTAGGGTATCGTCTCCGCCCACGGCAGGAAGAACGTAAGTGTCTACCTTGAGGATTGGGAGATCTTGGAGTTCCAGCTGTTCTAGAATGTCGGTGCCCCATGTCTGGAAATTTTGTTGAACTATGGTATGGGGCAGAATGACGGTACCACTACAAGAATTGAGGGGAAAGATGTTTTTCAAGGGTGACAGGAACAGTATCTATATGGGAAAGACGAGAGAGCTCACGAGCCTGGGTAGCATTCTGTACGGTAATGATGCGCGTACCGCTCTTAAGAGCATGAAAAGAAATATCTTTACCAACATGGCGTAGAAGTGCCTTGCCAATACTATGGTCAGAAAGATAGGCAGTAGAGGAAGTTGGTCGTAAAGTGAAGAATTTAGTCCACTGTTCAGTCTGAAACTGAGCGTGGAAAGGTAGTAAAGGACGTGTCGATCGTTTCTGAGAAGAACGAGAAGTATCATCAGCAGGTAATTGTCGTTGACGTTTAGGCGTGGGACCAGAGTTGGTCCGACGTGGAACGGGTCGGCGATTTGAAAATTGCCGCACCGTAGAGGGAGAGGCCGGAAGCATAGTCAGAGGAGAGCGAAGGTCTGATAAATCGAAGGAGTCAGTCGAGGCCTCAGTACCTGAAGCGGGTGAGGAAACAGCACCGGCAATAGGTACAGAGGCATGAGGAATGTCTGAAGAGTGGTCCAAAGACGAGGCGGGGTCAGAACGGGGTGCGGTATCAAGAAGGGGCCCGGGGGTACCAGGTTCATGGACTAGGGCTGCCATGGTTAGGTTACTTCTTTCTTTTTGTTTTTAAGAAAAAAAAAGAAAGAAGAAAAGAAAATAAAAATAAAAAAAAGAAAAAAAAAGGGGGACCGGGGAGGGATAGTTCCTAGGAGGAATGAAAGGGGCCAGAAATCTCCCCCCGCGCCCAAGAGGACCTCAGCACCGCAAGTAGCGCAGATCAGCATGGAACCCGTGCCATACCCTACCCATCATGCTAGTAAACTAACAATCCGGGATAGCAACCTCACATCTGCCGAGCTACCTCGGTGGACAAAAGAGAGGGCGGCCGGATATCCGCCACAAAGCATACCTCCTTCGGCCACCACCCCCGGAATCCGAAAGGTGGCTTCCAGAGATACACTCGTCGCCCGAAAGACACCCAAAGCTACTCCGGGATACCGGAGAGGGATCGGGACATCCCCAGGCGATCCAGATTCCACGGCAAACTACGCCACCGCTAAAAACCTCAACGGGAATGGGATGGACCCCGGTATCCTTTCTCCTACCCAGGAACTAGCGCGCCTGTGGGAGAAATCCCAAAGGACAAAAAGAGGAAGGGCAAAAGGGAGGAGTGGGGAGGAGGAGGAGGAAAGGAAAAAGGGGAGGATGGGATAGGGGAGGGGAGATTGGGGGGTAATTAGGTTCGGTCTGAGGAAGAAGACCGATAGGTCTAATTCCTCAGACCAAGAGCCTCTTCACCACGCCAAGGAGCCCCCCTTGAAGAGGAATCTGATGATAATCTTTTGTCAATGACTCCTAGTTCTTATTCTTATGTCTTTAGTATTTTAACTCACAATATATATTCTTTGTGTGGCTTGTCTTCACTTTCTCCCATTCCTGTTTACATGGCATTCATCCACATTATATTAATTATCAATCTCTTACTCCACTTGCTCAATCCATTTAGGTCTTCCTGAGAAAATATTGATATATACACTTATTCACTATGCATTACCCTTGGAGTCAATGTTTTGCACGAAGGCAAGGTCTTTCTAAGTCATGACTTGAAATGCCTCACCTTAAAGCAAAAGTTTGTTTAATATAGGCTTGCTCTGCTGTAAGTGCTTGAGGGGCTGACTTATTAGTAGAGATCAAATGAATGGAGCCTGACAAACCTATAGGAAAGAAAGAGTAGGGGAGATAGGATAATAAATAAAATGCTTAGAGGACTTTATAGGGCAGAGAGACAGGCTGTTTGAAAGGTGTGGACTGGGGATACACGAGTATCAATGGAAGCCAAAAGTGCCAATGATTCACATATAGCAGTAAATTCTTTAGGGCTGTCAGGAAGTGAAATAACCTAATTTTATGGATGGGTACAATATGGGCCATGAGGCAGGATGCTAGGCAGGGACAGGAGTTGAGACTACTCTACAACCACAACTAGATAAATACAGGGTACAGTGATATAGTGATAGAGCAATATGAAGAATTATGCCTCAGCCTTAATTAAAATACCATACTGTACTGTGCTTATGAAAAAATAAGAGCACCTGAACTCATCATATGTTTAAGTCTCTATTTAAATTATTACAGTTTGATTCTCTTTGAACTTAATAACCTTTCTGATATTCACTCACTTCATTATTTTTGTACATGCCTCAACAAAAATATATTGTTACCCTATATCACTTTTTTCTTAGTTATGTAACATCATTAAGTTCGTATAGTACCTGTCTTTATATTTTGTTCTACACAATGGGTTTTTTATGTATAGATTCTGATGAACCACTAAGAAGACAATTATTACTTTTACCTCCTAAACCACCAGTTTAGGAGGTAAAAGTAATAATTGAAACTATTTTTGTTTCAACTCAATAAACCCACTTATATTTTTTATATAATGTGTGCTTTCTTTGCAATCTTAGGGAGTGTCCTCACAATGAGAGCTCAATCTCATGATCAACATCATCAGTTACCATAAGTACCTTTCAACTGTGTTATGGTAGGTCATGAAACTGGTGGTTTAAAAGGTATAGCTGATAGGTTATAATCCTTGTGGTCCATCAAACTCAATACAAAAAGTACCTTTCATTCTTCAAAAGGTGTAATTTATGCAACACAACGAACCTAACATCAAAGAAACCTTTCTTAACATACAAGTCTTACATACCACATATGTCTGAACAGAAAAAAATGTAATCCCCAAACCTGCTTTGTTAAAATTTTAACTGTTTAATGTCTACAAAGCATTACAAAACTGATACATGTATTTGCCTGACTAATCAATATTATGTTATATACCTTCCACTGTTAAGAAAGCTTATTCTACAAAGCACATCTATTCACTCATTCCTTTTGTCATAATACAGTGGTACCCCGAGTTTCGGAATTACTTCATTCCAGAATGCTGTTTGAGTGCCAATACTGAATGAATTTGTTTCCATAAGGAATAATGTAAATTAGATTAGTCCGTTTCAGACCCCCAAAAATACACTCACGAATGCACTTACACAAATACACTTACATAATTGTTCGAGTTGGGAGCAGTTCGAAACTCGGGGTACCACTGTATTATAAAGCTTTATTATTCTATAGTATTTACATACATGCCTCCTCTCTTTTTCCTATATTAGAAAAAAGAGAGGAGGCATTTACCATCACTCGTGCCAAAGCTGTCTTTCCAGAAGGCCGTACACTGAATATCAGCATAAACACTAACCCTTCAGAGGACAGGCACTACTTCCTGCCTCCAGAACTGAAGTGCACCTAATTGGTTTCTCTGAATTTCTTCTTTTTCCTTGAAATAATGAGGTAATCATTTTGTTCATTCTTCACATGCTCTGCCATTTCTCCACATTGCTATCTGCACGAATTTGCCATAACCAGTTATCTCCCCCCCTCCCCTCTGTCCATCCAATGTTATTTCAATCACTGCCATCATCCACACCACATACATTTTTTATATTTTAACACAATACAGCTTTTCTTACTTATGGTAGCATTTATAAGTCATGTAGAAAATATACAAAACAAGGATTAATTATATCTACCAACCGTAGCAAGTGTTACACCAGACAGATGGCTAATATCCTCCACTTCTGCCTGCTTTTCCTCTTCCACACTCACAACAATGCTTATACTTGGCCATGCTGCTCTGGCTTGGCGTACCACACTCGTAATGTATGGCGGAGAGGAACTGCAGCCATCTAAAATAACTGTTACCTGGGTTGGCAATGGTGGAAGAGGATCACTACCCAAGTCTTCTAAGTCAGCTATGCCAGGTAAGTTATTTATTAGGTCACCTGGATATACTGGGTAGATTGATCGAACAGATTCTGAATAGTCTAGTTTGGAAGAGTGCTGGGGTTCCTCCTCATCTTCATTATATAATGTGGATTTGTCTTTAAAACTTCTTTGTTTCTCTAGCAATAGTTTTAAATTGTGAATTCTGGATTCTTCTAAGTTTTTCCTGTTTATTCTTTCAGAAAATGTCCTTTTCTCTAGGCTTTCTAAACTTTCAGATGTATATGAATTTAGTGCAAGTGTGTTTAATGAAGTATCATTTAACTTTTGAATAAATTCATTAAATGTTTGCTCACTAAAGTTATTCTTAAATTTATTGTAATAATATCTAAGTCTTGAGTTTAATCCATATTCTGATCTTCCATTTCTTATCAATTCATCCTCAGAAATATTGTGAAGTAGTGTTGAGTTACTTAAGAGAAAGCTGAGAGGTGCAGGAGTAAAGCCAGACTTAGGTGGTGGAGGGCCCCTAACTTTTGGGTCGTAACGAGAATCCAGTAGTGCTGCTGTTGACTCCAGCTCTGCAGCTACTGATAGTATGTGACCAGCTCCTGCAATATAAAGTGAAAATGATAAAACATAAGAGAGAATGAATGCCTAAGAAAACAAAAGGATCCAGAATAAGTATAACTTTTATACAGCAGTGTACTGTACATATATAATAAATGGTCATAACACACTTACCCAAATACAAAATCTACATATTGTTACAGTTTAGAGACTACAAAATATTAGCAACAATACATTATTAACCTTGCAAAAATCTTGAAGGATGCCGAGAGAACAAAATTTACCTCGGAAAAATTAAACCTGTGTTACTTATGTAAATAACTAAATCTAATGCAAAAGATCATCATTTAAATATATGCCATACTAAAACCTATACTGTATCACATATAAAACCTAAAGTAAGAAACAAAATACCTAGTGACCCAAAAGCAGCTTAATGATAATTTATAAGTTTTCAATTACAGTGGAGCACCAAAGCCTAATCAATCTAGGCCCAAAACAGTCTAAAGTTACAGTTGGTTCAAAGTTACTAATCATGAAAATCTAAGGGAATTTTTCAAGGAAAAGTTTGCAAGACAAGTACAAATCAAATAAAAAATTGTACTCACTAATTTCTGTTGTCTTTTTCCCTCTTGTAAAATGTCTGTGGGGGTTGCTATGTACAAAAGGTGCTTGATCTGTGCATTACAGTCAGTTGAACATGATGTAGCTACATCATGTCAAGAATAGGATCATGTTGCAATAGGGGTTAAATTATGTTCTTCAACCAATCTATTAAACTCCTCTAAATAACTGTCTATGCCAATTTGATCAGCAAAAAGGTCTTTGTTTTTTTCCATCAAAAAATGTCCCAGATATCTGAATGATTTCATTGCAACACTCGCAAAGCTGTTCACAAAACACTTTATAGACATCTTTGTTAGCAGGCACAAGTAAAGTTTTCCAATTAGCAGTTTTTCCATAATATCTTTGATCCTTTCTTTATATTATACACAAGTGATTCTTCAGTACCATGGTCTATTGACAGAAGAGTTACTTATCATACTGTCTGATTTCTTGAGTAATTCCATTTTTTCCCACAGTAAGGTAATTTAAATTGTTGCACTTGCTTCTGTTCAGTAACACAATGACACCTCCATTATTTTTTGGGGGTTATAAGGTCTTTTCTTGCTTCTGCTGCAGTTATCACTCTTACAAGAAACTACAGGTGTTGCTTCACCCAAGGTGGATTGTGTAAGAGATTGATTGAAAATTTTAATGATCTGAGTATAAGCACACTGCATCAAAGTGTGGGCAGCCAGGGAGTAACATGGGGCAATGGTTGTTCCACGAGCACTTGTGGCAGGGAAAAAAAAAAAAAGGTATTGACACCTAAGACCCACCTTCCCCTCACATCCCACTTAAGCCTACCTGAATTGCTGTTAGGCAATGAATGGCCTGCTCCCCGTGCCATGCTGGAATATCAGGATACTGCCAGAGTAATGGGTCATGTAATTTTAGAAACATCACAGTGAAGCTTCTGATAATCAGAAAAATCAATTCCAAATTAACAGTACTCTACTGTATTGCCATTTCAGTTTGTATTTATTGTATAGCTGTTGCAAGCTAGTACATTCACCAGGTGAGCCCCAGCCCGGGTCTTCTCAATGTGGTGACTTGACAAGGTTTAGTAACGTACCAGGGTGTCACTATAGCTCTTAGATAGTGTCAAGATTGATTGTAAGGAATTACATATGTAAGTATCATCTCATCATATATATTCTTTATATTGGAGCCATTAATGATGTCCAAATTTACTAGCTTTTGCAATTTATTTTGAGTGAAGTAGTTTACAAAGTATGCACAGTACTGGATATGTGAACATTAATTTATAAGAGCTAGGTAGCACGGAGATGCATTATAAAGTGGCTGCCCAGCTGGTGCAACTAATCAAAATAAAATATACAAGAATGAATCTTTGAAAGTTAATCAGTACAATTTATCTTTAAAACTGATTCTTAATTAATAGAGTAACTATATTAAATTTAGTTAATGTAACAAGTTACATTATTCATACTGTAACTACAGTACATGTATTATTAAAATTCAGCTGCTACAAAATGGCATTCCTTGTGCAGTACTTAATATTAAGAAGCTAAACAAAAATCTTGCAATATTTATAATGAAAATGCAGTACTCCTGTGCAACACTAATTAAAAAAAAGGGACCACATTCATAAACAATGACTGTAACATACCAAAGAAATGTTGCAATATTAGTGACCTTGGCACTGGTGAGGCAATATGGACGCTGTGCACTTCTTCAGGTCACTTTGGTTAAAAGCTGTTGAATAAGTGGATGGGTGATTTGTGTGACAACAGCGTGGGCAACACTAGGAAACTTTATTAAGAAAACATTTCACCTTTGCTGCAGGCTTTATCAGTCAATTACAGAGACAACAGCATACAGTAGTGAGCAAATTAATTGGGACAGGAGTAAATTTTGTGATTATCTCAAAATATGTCTTAGTCTCTTTCTTTATTAATGTAGTTTGGGCTTTCTTTCCATAAGAGTTTGCTATTGACTTTTGGTAACCATCCAGCTGTAGTGCTATCCTGTGACTCTCCTCAGTGCTACAACAGTTGTTGTTCCGTAAGTGAATGTGCTTTTGCTAAATTCTTCCCTTCAATTCATGATGGATGTTATACCAGGAAGCATGCAAGTATTGTAGCTCTTAGAAACATGCTGATTTGAGTATCAAACACATTGCCGAAAATTCTGAAGACAGCTGACAACACTAGTGATTATGGAATGCTGTGTTGAGGAAGATGCAGAAGAAAAACCAATGCAACACCTCATGATGACGAGGTTATCATAACAAATAGTGTGAAGGATCCCAAGAATGCCATCAAAGATCTACAGAGAGATTTGGCTTTAGCTGCTGTAAATGTTGATTCTTCAACTGTTCAACGAAGGCTCCTCGAAGTTGGCAGAACTGCCAGAAAGCTGGTAAAGAAAATTATTGACTGCTGCTATGAAGAAAAAACAGCTTCAGTGGGCACCCGATGAACGGAGAAAAGTTATATTTTCAGAAGTGGCACATTTTTGAAGTACACATGGATAAAGATCTGTGGTAGTGAGACAGGGCAAAGCCAAACCTCTTCATAATGGACACATTCAACAAGCACCAAAACACTCACCTAAGATGTTCTGGGGTAGTTTTACTGCTAATGGCCCTGAATGGCTTGTTACTGTTGAGGGAATGATGAACAGTGACAAATACAAGGCAATCCTGGCAACTCATTTGCTTCCCATTGTGGATAGAGATTTTCCTGATAGAGGAGGCATTTTCTTGCAGGATCTTGCTCCATGCCACACTCCCAGAAAAATGTTGACATTCGTTGAAGAGAGTGGACTACGCATTCTAAATTGGCCTACACTTAAATAGTATGTAAGTCTTATGATTAGTTTGTCTGAAATGCATTGCATAATTAGTGGCTTTCTTTTATGCCTGCATTTGTATCAAATTACTGTACATATGAACACCTACTGTAACTCTTCGTATGGCTCATAAGAAATAATAAAACAATTTTTTTTAAAGAGTAACTGTGATGACTCCCACTTGGTATCAAATTCACTATCTTTTCATCCTACACTTTTTTTTCCCAACACCCTAGTAATTCTTTCTTTTATAACCCAATCTATAAATACTAAAGAATCATGGTGACATCACATCCCTGTCTAAAACCTCATTCTATTCATAAAAACACTTACTATTTTTAACATTTATACAGTACTGTACTACCTATACCATACATTGGCAAGATCTTCCACACTGATCCTTTATTCACCCTTTCATGTGTTTTCTAAACCTATAAATGCAAAAAACAGTTCTTTACTCTTATCCAAGTATCATTTGCTTATATGATTCAGTTTAAATATTTGGTCTGAATTGTGGCTAACAGACAGGGCATAGACAGTGTAACCTGAATAAACCAAGGTGTGCATCTGATATACACTACACAAATAACTTACTTTAGTTCTTACTTTACAAATTAAAGAATTCACATTTATGTGATTACCCATTTGTGGTTACAGATTCGGATCTATCAGGGTGCCATACCATCAGTATTTAATCAATGGTACATAATTTTTTAAATATCCAATGGTTGCAACACTCACTACCTCCTCTTGAATCCTATTCCGTGGTGCTACCATACTGTCTGGGAAGAAAAGCTTAAATATTCTTATGGCACTGCTTTTTTTTCTTGGTTTAAGACCATGTCCCCTCATTCTCCATATTGATGACACTAAGAGCTCTTCTTTATTCTTCTGTATCTTTTTATGTCATTATGATGTCTTCTGTTTTCCTCTTATCATACAACAGGAGCATTTTTAATGTTTTCAACCTTTCTTAATAACTTAAAATGTATTTTGAGGCTCTGGGTGCCATTTTCATTGTTTATCTTTGTACTTTTTTCTCTCTTTTTCACATGATTTTCAATTTTTTTGTAGTTGCAGACACAACACCTCTGCTGCATACTCTAATTATGGCCTAGTAGGTACAGTATTGTTAGCATTTCCCCATCCACATATCTGAATGCTATTTTATAGTTTGCTAAAGTAGCATTTCTCACAGTTTCATTTTTATAGTCTTTTAGTGACAATCTTTTATCCATGATAACTCCTAGATTCCTCTCTGAGTGACAAAAAATATACTGCATTATGTATTACAATCTTCATGTGACCTGTTACTGCCTTTCTCATATCAAGATAAGACCATATAGTAATTTTTATTGTTTATTTTGTATAGAATCTTTGCATCATCTGCAAAGTTGCTCAATTAGTTACTTGCAAAACTGTATTAACACGATTGTAAACAACCTGTTGAACAGGGTGGGGTTCAAATCCTTGCAGCCAACAAGTCATTCATAATGACTCTGAAAGGAGTCTAATACCAAAAAGTTTAAATGCTGGAGCATGAAAACATTCATATCATCAGGCCCAGGTGCCGTAGGTTGGCACTCTGACAATGCTGACGCAAATTCAAGAGCAGTCAATG